GCTTTGCACTTGCAAAATCGTTTTGAAAGGTTTGAAATGTTTTCTCAGCTTAGGCAACTATTGCATTACGTAATGAGTGTTGAAACAATAACTTTCGCGAATTAAATCTCTACTCTATTTATGGCCATATGATTTTGTATGACAAGAAGAAACTATTTACGAGACAGCACCAGCGAGTTCTTAGATAAATTCAAACGGTTTTTCATATCTTTTAAAAATGAGTTCTTGATTTAAAATTTTGGAAAATTCAAGATATACGCATGAGCAAAAAGCGATGTTTCTGAAGGCGGGTAGGGCAAAAGTTTTATCATGGCTTCCTCGTCCCTACTCGCTTAGCGGCGATGGATGTTGGTTCTTATGTTTTGGACAAGTTAAAATTTTCCGATAACATCTTCATCCTTACGAAAGGAATGGTTTTAGAATTCTGCTATAAGCTTTCTGTCTCGGACCTGCCCATGTCAGCTCAAAAGTACAAGTTGGTTTTTAACAAAGTGAGCATTCCAACTAGAATACTAGAATACGATCCAATTTGTTAAATACTGCGCTTTTCTTCAATTAGTCACAAAGACTAAGTTTTATCGAGCTTGTGAGGAAAAATTAGTCGTTGCGCCATCTTTGTGTAGTATTCAGTAATCGCAGCTTACTATTTAGACTGGACTTTTATACGAGATCTTTTTAGAAATGTTTGAACTCAATGAGGCTCGTATCCTGATTGCGGTTCAGAACTGTCTGAGCCACAGTTTTTTGAATTATCTAAATTTCATTCGCAAAAGGGGCTTTGCGCCTAAGAGGTTGATATTTCTTATTTTTATGCTTACTTAGAATAAAACCAGTGTTAGAACCAACACGGATGCACCCTATAGTGTCACTACATTGGTTAGCTTCCATAAAATCCGAAATGAAAATGCTTTTAGTATTCAAACAAACAGCGTATAATAATTCTATTTTTCCCTGCCACCCCCACAGCACTTGGTTGCCGTACTGTAAAAACAGCTGTTAACAAATAGAATAATCAGCATAAATTTCTATCGCAAAGAGCTCAACAAGATTCTTACACGTTTTGCCGGCACAGGGTTAAACATGCATTAGCTCAAAAAAAACAATAAAAACAGCCATAAATGTAGGCAGGAGTTAGGCTGAGCATAATAAATCACGAATTACGCCCTTCATATACTTTGCAAAAT